TCTGTTCTTGCTACAATGCTTATGTAATTGGATCTTTACAGTTCCTTTTGTATCTAAATGAACACCCTTTTTTAACATTTCATTTAAACCACTCCCACTCTCTAATGCATATAAACCCTATTGTAAATCGGCTAAATCATTATGGTCAATAAAGGCTTTACAATCCGGTGTGGACTCAATACGCTTCACTTCAATTCCGCTCAACGCAACCCAAATCAATTCAACTCAGCTTCTTGCAACCCAAATCAACTCAACAGCCTCCTGTCGCAACCCAACTCAACTCAATGCAACTCAGCCTGACCCAACACAACACAATCCAATTCAAATCAGCCCAGCGGATCTTAGGAAGCCGATCGACAACACTGGTGATATTTGGCTATTGATCGACATCACACTCCACGATTCAGAAAAAAATCCACCACAAATCCTGCAGATATTTAAATTGATTTACAAGTAAGGGTAAAGTGGCCCGACCCTTGGTGGCCGTAATTATATCAACATTGAATATTATCTCCACTTCTTTTTAAAGCTTATTTTAAAAAAAAGGAGAATCCGAATATATTTCGTGCAAACAACAAAGTAAAGAAAATCGTATCGACTTCTGGCATATTTTCAACTAGTATTTTTCTGTAGTTTTAATCCAAAAGTAAATATTAAATCATTTTTGGAAGGAAGGAGCATCCTGAACTTTGAACGCTAATTATCTTCTTTGACCACACTTTGACTGCTTCTCGCAGATTCGCTTTCCCCTGCAGTGGTATTTTCGAAGTGGTATGTTGATTACAAAATTTAACATCAGGTTTTAGAAATTCACAGATTAAAAATTTCCACCGATGTCTGAGCTTATTATTAAATCCAATGTAGACTGTGTGTACTATTCGCAAGAAAGGCAGTGGAAATAATTGTAGAAATTTTATGTTAGCTAACTTGAATATTAGCAATAAGTATTAGCGTTAACTTGAGTATTAGTGATTCACGGACTGAAGATTTGAAATCACATGATAGATAATATTCAAAAGAATAGCTGATTGATTAATAACAAAGAAGCAATACCAACCATAGGAACAATTTCTGATTTGAGATATCTAGTAAAGTTTATTATATCAAAAAAAAAATCCTTGAATGAAATTAAAAGGCTTTTTTAAATGTATTTCCTCTGTATCGTCTGTATTTCCTTTTAAATAGCTTTATCAGTTTTTGAAATAAAACTTAAATGTACTAACCGTTTAAGGAATGTTATTAAGAAGCTTTGATGAGTAAAATATTGCTAGCTAATCTCTACGAACAGTTAGAATTGCATGTAATCGCAGCACCAGTTAGGGTTATGGGGTTTATTTTGTAGACCAAGAGCAATGGTCTACAAAATAGAGGTACGGTTGAGAGATTCAAAAAACCAGAAGTACGAATGAATCTTGCGTTTTATAATTCAAAAAAAAAAAAAAAACGGCATTTATTAGGTCACGAAACAAATGTTCTGTTGTCGGCAGTAACCGTATTTGAAATGACGCTTCCATATTGCATCTAAATCAATGAATGGATTTTAGTTATTATCGCTGTTAGTATCCTTGCGACGTACATCAACATATTATTGATGAAACTAAACTTTGCAAGTTTATTACCTTTAAAGACAACATTATTATTGCTTAAGAAAGCGAGTATAGCATCAACGACAATTGTGCTGAAAAGATTTATCGACCAATATTTTTTGTTTATTCATTTCTGTGATTTTTCTTACCTGCAAAATTCGAAATGTATTTTATCCAATCATAAACATAAAGGAAACATTTGCAATTAAATTAGAATTTAGATTCGTTTTCTCAAATCCAATGTGAATTAAAGTTTTCTAGATATTGTGTTTGATTTCTCTCTTTTATTCCTTTCAGTTAACTGACTTGATCTTCATGGCTCTACTTTTTAAGTGCACTTTCTGGATAGAAGAGGCTTCTATACAGATACAAAAATAGATTTTCTTGTCAAGTGTAGAAAGATTAAATGTTTCATTTTCTAAATTTATTCCCAAATGCTATTATATTTTTTGTCGTGGCCGGGAGCAAATAACGAACCATACAATGACTGTATCAGAGCAATATCGCAATAATGCAGTTTTGGTACCGTTCCTTCGAAACCTTGATAATGCGATGTCATCAACGATTCATCATGACTGTGCTCAAGGCCTAATACATGACCTAGTTCATGTGCCATCACCCAATTCAAGTTTCTGCCACTTGGACCCCTCAAAAAGAATCGTAATTATCATTATTTTTAGGTTGTCATCAAAATATTGAAATTATAAAGTATTATTTTATTAACAGCATCTAATTTTCGAGCGAGACCATCAGTCTTAAAAGCGACAGTTATATACGGTGCTCAGCTGAAAGACTAAATGGCACAAACCATGGTTCGCTATCGTCAATGTGAATTTGTCCATGCCATATAAGATCGTTCGGGTAAAACGTATGCGCTAATTCATTTCCTTTTCCGTCAAATGGATATTTATCACCATGATAAAATGTTGCGAATATTACTTCAATATTTGCTTTTGTATGAGGCCATTCAATGAATTTAACATCAATTACATCCTCCCACAACTAAATGTATATTCTGATTAACGACCAACTATAAGTCACATTCTGATAACTATCCAACAGTGATCTTTCCAAGTCATCAAATTCACTATTTGGCAAATATATCTTTTTTTCAACAGGTTTTATTGGACTTAAACTGAATTCTATTTGAATACATTCTGGTTTACTTTTACCTGATATTAATAGAGAAGAAAACGGTTGACTACTGGAGTCTCTTCACCACTCCGTGAATTTTAGAATTCCGTCCTGCACAACCTGATAACATACCTTGACAGCTTTGCGTAAAGCAGCATCAACATATTCTTTAAGTTTCACTTCATCCATATTTTGATGTAATTCTTTACGTGAATATTGAGCAATGCGATATTGAATGATTTTGCCTTGTAAGCGACCGTAATACGCAGTTTCTTCTAATAATTGAAAACTTTAAACAAACAAACCTAAGATGCCAATTCTCATCGAAATGAAAATTCTTTGATTGCAAAAAACTACCCGAATAAAACATGCACGTGCATTACCTATACCTGGTGTCTTCAGGTAATTCTTGAGTAATACATGTGTGACGTGCTAGTTTCATACTTTCTGCCACATAATATTTCTAAATTCGAAATATTCTGCACTTTCTTAGTCGTGTTTTTTGGAGGGTTTCGCAAAAGCATAATAGAAAGATGCAAATATTTTGCAGATCATCCGCGCTGTCGAAAACAAGGATAACCCGATAATGGCGGATTATACGAATAAAATCTCACGAATGGGAACTTAATGGATTGACTAACAAAGATTTTTTATTCATTTCCGAGTGACCAGAATTCGAAGGTTTCAAACAGATTTAGAACAGTTCTAGATCGCTACCAGAGGAACTGTCTTCTTGTTTAGCATCACATATTTCTAATCGCCACCACTTGTAAATGGAATGTTTGCAATTGACAGTTCCTTGAATTCAAGTGAAACAGATTAAGGATTTCTTGACATTGACTTCTTACATTCTGCTTGATTTCTTGTTTGTCGCCGAAATCATTTGTTTTCCCAAAGGACAGATACCACACTTGATGAACTTCACTGTTTCAGCTCCCTTTTGTAATCTTTCAACAGATTCCAATAGATTTAGGAGCTCATTTTGCATCACATTTGTAAGTGAAATATACTCTTCAAACAGTTAATCGATCTTCGCAGCTATTTTAGGCTGGAACGAAGGAAAGACCAGTTGGCCTTAAGTATAAAGATTTCTGGCTTTCTCATCGTAAGTATAAATGAACATAGCAATTGTAAGTACCAGGAATGATCGATGTCATCCCTGTTCGACAGAGCGGTGAAGAGAAGAGCGGTTGAAAGTGAATGAGTTGTAGCAAAGAGAGCAAAAACGATGACATATGACCTAAGCGAACACTTTCATTTCTTTAGCCACGAACACTCGCAAAATTTCTGTTTATTTCTGCTTAGTATGGCTTTCTGCAAGAAAAAAGGTTTCCATGACATTTTAAGATTTAAATTGTCTCAGCGTTCGTAACTTTAAAGATCTATTTGTTGTTATCATGTCCAAATTGTTGCAGCTCGCTTCCAATCACACTAATTAAAGATTCTCCTATTTATAGCTCACTTCCAACCACACTAATTAAAGATTCTCCTATTTATAGCTCACTTCCAATCACACTAATTAAAAATTCTTCTATTTATTCAAATTATTCAACATATAAACTCGAACGATATTTTAGATAAGCAATAGAAACAATATTTAAGGAGTGAACCTTCGCATTGGAAATGCAGCAATACCAGAACAGGTCTACAGAAAATTACTTTTTAATAAAGAAATTATTCTTTTCGAACATTTCCCAAAATAAAAAAACCGACGTACCCAATTAACAGCAAATGAATGTAGTGCGCGAAGTGATGAGTTGTGCTTCGATTTAAAGTGTTAAAAATAAAAGCAATGAAAACAACTTTGTCACTCCCACATCAACAAACGATTCCTTTTTTAGTAACATAAGACTATTTACACACTTGACATTTCTTAACTCGTGGTTACGGCTTCCAACAATTGAAGATGCTTGTTCAAAAAGACTACCTTGTGTATCTGTGGACTTTCATTGGAATTACAATGTTCCAGTTGAATATTCCACTCTATAAACTCCGTTGATACAATACCTTATGTTGTTCAAAAATTTATGAGCTTTTTCAGAGTAAACAAGTTATAAAATGGACAGGCACCCATATGAGATGCCACAATAAAGTTTCGGAAATATGAATGCATTTGATCTGTCAAATTAATTACTTGAAAACTCAAAGTCACTTATTTCCAGAATAATGGACCACGATGAAAACAGGGTTAACATAATATATAAAACCGAGAATCAAAAACAACATGCCAATAGTATCTCTCGCCGTGTAGCAAAATTGTTTTATGTAACAAAATGTGAAAAATCAGACGTCTACCAATCTGTAACTTTTATCACGTTAGTATTATGGAGCATATTTTAAAATACTTTAAAATCCAGCAAATTTCTTGAAAAGTCGTGCAGTACAACAAAATATTCATCCAACATTATAACAAAAAAAGATCTCTTGTTTCCCTTCCAGCTTGGCCAAATTTCCAATAAACTAGTACGTAAAATCAGTTATGAAAAAAGTAAAAGATTTTGAACTTCTAAAAAACAATCAGCATAAAAACAGTTAATTAAAAATAATCATGAAAAAGATGTAGCGGCGCTTAACTCAAATAATTGCTTTTGTCTTTAATTAAGTTAGTCATAATTCTTTCCTAAAAAGAAGCGGCTTTCTAGTCAAAATTTTAATTTCCCAATCAATTGATAACTCACTAAAATAATGTTTCAAGAAGAAAGCGACAGAACTCCATCCTTGGGATCATTCTTAGATAATGACACAAGGGTCTCACCATTTATATCGCTACTATCCTTATCATTTTCATTTTCTTCATCGAATAATTCGGATGGAAAAAAACTTCCTCTGCAATAATATACATGGGGAAAACTGAAATGACCAAATAAGTAGAAAAGATTGGTAAAAATCAAAATTTATTATTTTCAGTGAAATTCCACTTAAAAAGGAATAAAGGAAAGATAAAATCACAGCCAAATATCTACAACTTACTGTGAAGTGCCATTCGAAAAGCACATTTCGCTAAGAGAACTTCTTGGAGACAACATCTGGGGTTCTATCCTTATCATCCTCTCAGAATATGGTAGTGCCACGATCTCCTAGAGTTATAAAACTGTTGAGGATTTTAAGGTCACAAGTTACAACCAAAACTCCTTAAAAACGAGATTAAAAGACAGAGCAATTCCACGTTCATTATTTTTTTTTAATATGAGATTACCTCAATCTTGGCATACAAATCGAGAATATGTGACTGCTGTTTCTGACAAACAGAGAGAAGAGACAAATATTTGTGCTGCGCGGCTTCACACTGTTGAGAGTGCAACTGTTTCGGAAAATAATTTGAAAAGATAAGGGATTGAAACTGATTATTTGAACTGTTATGTAAGAAAACACTTTATTTATGACTGGCCATACTTGTAATTTGATGATAATTATTTTGGTGAATGCTTATCGTTCACAGACCACAAAACTCTAGTATGCTCTCATTCCCTATTAATATTTTGTAAGAAGGAAAAAAAAATGATACTAAGAATTAACACCTCTAGGAATCTAATAAGAGAGGAAGTTGAAAAAAAAGAGAAAAGAAAACTTTTTTGGCTCTTTCAAAGACAGCGCTGAATTCAGTGCAGCGTCTCCTCTCAATCATTAACTCATCTTCGAACTTTCGAGCTTTAGCCCTTGCAGATTCCTTCGTCCTTTCTTCATGCACCAATAAACTCTTCAGTCGGACTACCTGCAAAAGAAATGCTTTCGAAATCATTGAAATTCATGTAAACCCATGTAATTGAATTTTAAGAGGATGATAATATGAATTCAAACATCGACTGTCAATGAATTCAGCATAACATATTGCATATCTTGGATCTTGGAACTACACGAAGAATTCAAAATACGTAAAGCAATGAACCTCAGCTATCATTTGCGAAGTGTCAAGTTTCATTGACCTAATCCGTGACTTTGACCTAGAACCTTCCTTTTCCAATCGCTTCTGAAGCTAAAAATAAGCAAAACCATTAATTATATAGGAATGCTTTAATACATAATTGATGGTTTGGAATCGAAACCAAAATACATTAAAATCAATTCAGTAATTTCGATCATTTATCATAGTCAATCGTTGACGACTTTGATAAAATTAACTGAGCGATTAAGAAATCTTTTCTCACATAGCTATAATAAAATTAATTTTTCGAAATTTAAATTATGCAAACAAATGATAAGAAATTAAGGGTAACCAGCAAGACTTCATCTCTGAGCTGTTGATTAATTTGATGAGCATTTTTGAGCTCTATTTTCAAACTCTCAATTCCTTCTAGTTTTGATTCCGCAAACAGTAATTTCATTTCCATATCCTCACATCTTCAAATATAGTAAGTAAAAATTTCTAAATCAAAACTTTAATTGCATCTATTGTCATTAACTTTCCTGTCATACCATCCTTAATAAGGCAGTTTATCAGATAATCATAAAGTCATTGCACTTAAACAAAAGTTGGGCAAATTCATGCGGATAATAACGTGCCAGTTTTTTAAAGCATATGTATCAAATAGTATTTCAACTTCTCAGAGGATGTCAATTATCACTAACATTAAACCATCCAAAAGGATAAATTCAAAATAAAAGATGTTTTGAAGTCAAAAACTCTTTCTCCCTCCCAGCATATATATATATTATATATATATATATATATATATATATATATATATATATATATATATATATATATATATATAGTATATATAGTAGTAGTAGTAGTAGTAGTAGTA